AAAGCACACCAGGAAACACCAAGTGGTGGCTTGCACTTATAAATACAGCATGAGGCAAGTTTCCATTACTGAAAGACAATCCTGAACCCAGAATCAATGGTAACTGAGAGCTGCCTGGGTCAGAAAGAAGCAAAAAAAACACTGGTGTGGGAAAATGTTTTTCCTTTACCTCTTGTGAGGGAGAATTAACTTCTATTTGGGAAGCACGTGGGTCATGGACAGTGTCTTTTGTGTGCTCTGGAAAACAGCAGAGAGAGGTGTGTGGAAGAGTGGCTTCTATCTGTGGTCAGTGAGGGAGCCAGAATCGATGTACTTACTTGCTGATGAGCTTGGCAGGACAGAGACTTTGATATCAGAGAGCTTCTTGAAAACCTTCACCACACCTTGGTTCTTTGCTTCTTTCTTGCATATTGTAGCTGAGACATGTAGAATATATACAAATAGAATCATAGAGCCACAGAAAACCCAAGTTTCACCTCAAGAGATCATCTGCTCCAAGCTTTAATGGGAAAGGGAGCGTGGATGAGAAGTGTCACGTGGAGGGCTCATCCCTGCTTGATGAATTACCCCACTCTGGTGTTCTTATCCCCTCTTTGGTTTAAGAAAGATTCCAAAGCAGAGACAGCTGCAATACATAAAGGTTTACCTAGACTTGGTGCTACATTGCTAAGGGAGGTCTGGATTGCTATAGTCTTGCGTGCGGTGGATCCAACTCAGGGAACTCCCAAGAGGAACCTCAGTCGAACGTACAGGGGAAGAACAGCTGTCAGTGCCAGCAACAAGAAACAGGCTTGGGGTTCTGAAAATACATTTGATGACAAAAGCATCATTGCATGATTCTGCTTCAATCTTTGCAGAGAAGGGATCTACAAAATTCAGAATGCCCTGGCTGTAGACACAAAATTCCCATATCAGGTAAATAACAGAGGTCCTGCCATAGAAGCCAAATATTATACTTGGTAAAACAGAATTAACTAATGACCAGAATAAAATACCAGGAAATAAAGTTCCCCTTACTACTCCATTTCTGTCACTGAGAAGAGTAACTCCTTTTTTACCCATGCAGGGATGTGGTCTAGATGGAGAGGGAATGCCACGACAGTGGGCACTGGCTGGGCTGTTGCATGCAGAAGGTGATGGGTTCTACTCTGCAGGAGCCTGAGGACTGCCACAGGGCTTTGTTTCCTTAGTATCTTTCAACAGAGACAAAGGAGAACATCGCAGTGTGTAGGGACCATCCCACAGTACCTGAGCAAGAGAAGCAGGGCAGAAACAGAGATTGGGGACAAGTTCCAACAAGCTAAACAGATCCACAATGAAGCCTAGGTCACCATCAAAGGATTCCTTAGATGTGCCGTACACCTACTAAACTGGAAACCAGAACTGCTCTAATAAAGCACAAGCTCCCTGGCTGAACTTAAATAGAGATGGGGGACAAATGGGCAGAGGGTGGGATGAAGCCACTGCTGAGGCTGGTCAGGGGGATAAAGGCCTATTAGTTCAGCCTGGGACAATTCATCCCTGCCTAAAAATGCCCATTTCTCACCCTTGAATACAGTGGAAGCCCAGAGGCACCAGCTCAGCTGTTGGACATCCAGGCACTGCATGTGGATAACACAAGTGGGGATGGAAAACTGGGCTCTCAAGTGTGCACAGAGGGACTGCAGCAAACCCAGAGATGGAGTCACTTGTGCTTCATGTCCCATTTGGGGACCCTTTCAGGATCTGAAATGTCTCTAAAATCCATTCTCATTCTGTTGCCAAGGTCAGACTAAATTCTTTGCATAGTCCACAAGTATGTCAGAAGCATCCTATGAGCTGCTCATCACTGCTGCAATGCAGCTGTGCTCAGGCATGGCTCACCCACACCATGTCTCTCAGATGCCCAAGCACCACAATGCCTTTCAGAGGTGATTTCACACCCTTTGCTTGACAACAAGCAAAATCCACCTGAAGCATCAATCTCTTCATGCCCAGGTGCACTAATAAAGCCCATTAACAACGGCAGTACCTGTGTGGCTTTAAGGAGATGCCTTCCCCCTTCTCCCACATTGAGGGGAGGGAGTGGGTGACAAGTGAATGCCTACATGATTCATCCCTGATTATTCTCATAACATTCTCAACTGCCTTTCCTAATGCTACTTAAACAGGATTTCAGCAATGCAAAGACAGCTCCTGCAACCATTTCTACTCTCACAGTTGCCCCTTGTTAACATCTTCCTGTAAAACCCACCCCAAATGTTGATTTTGCCTTTGCTGACTTGACTAAGGCAGTAATTGTCCCCACACCAAGTTTTTATCATTTCACAGGGGTTTTTCTTTCATTTTCCTATGAGCAGTGGTGAGAAGAGCAAGGAAACAGCAAGCACCTGAATTCAAATCAACAGGAGAACTGCAGTAGTACCTAAACAAAATTGTTTTCACTGGTAACTGTCCAGTAGGTCCAAGTGTTGTGACACGTATTACCCACCATACTGTGGTCCTGGTGTATGGATTCATGAAACACTTCCTTGTCCACTTACTTCAAGAAATTCTAGTTTATGGAGTTGGAGATGTCCCTGTATTAGTTTGTTTCATAGAATCCCCGACTGGTTTGGGTCAGAAAGAACCTTAAAACTCATCCGGCTCCAACCTGTGCCGGAGGCAGGGACCCCTTCCACTGGAGCAGCTTGCTCCAAGCCCCTGTGTCCAACCTGGCCTTGAACACTGCCAGGGATGGGGCAGCCACAGCTTCTCTGGGCACCCTGTGCCAGCGCCTCAGCACCCTCCCAGGGAAGAGCTTCTGCCTAAGAGCTCAGCTCAGTCTCCCCTCTGCAGGTTCAAGCCATTCCCCTTGGCCTGTCCCTACAGGCCCTTGTCCAAAGCTCCCCTTCAGCTTTCTTGCACTCCCCTATTAAAGTAAAGAAAGGCCCACAGTAAAGTCTCCCTGGAGCCCTTCCCCCTCTTGCTGCCCATTACAGTCCTTCTATCACACTCTCCATCTGATCTTTCCCATCTCCTTTCTTCCACTATCGGGCACCTCTCCCTCAAGCTCTCCTTTCTGCCTTCAGTTTCCAGCACAATGGGTGGAGAAAGGTTAACAACACCATCAAGGAGAGCACAAGGACTGGGGCTGCCTCGGTCCCCAGAGTTGTTAAGAAACAAATTCCCCAGAAAGCCATCTCCAGGCAGAGAAAGGACAGGAGGGTGACCATGAGTAACCAGTATGGATGTACCAAGGGTAAGTTAAGCCTGGCCAACCTGAGTGCCTTGGGTGATGTGAGCATTGATGTTTGCTTGGACAAGAAGCAGAGGACAGCATTTACCTCACCGTTAGCAAGATCACCACGATCTTCTGTTGGCTCTTTGCAGCCAATATTGTGAGCTATGGTTTGAGTAAAAGGAATTGAAGATGGGTGGAAACCTGGTTCATTGTACATGGTGCCTGACATTGCTGATGGACCCTGGTACCAGCTCCTATTGGTGAGGTCCCTGTCACTTCCCTGCCATGATAATGTCAACCATGGCCCTTGTGAAGCTGTAACTGCCTCAGAAATGCTCCAAAAGTGGATGTCAAAGGTGGGATTGCTCTGTGCTTTGCTCTAAGAGAGCCCAAAGCCCTGTTGCTTGCTCAACCTGAGGTCATCTCCTCTGGGTACACTTCTCCTCCTCCAAACTAATCAGCACAGAGAAGAAATAATGACCTGCTTTGGGCTTTGTCACCTCCTGGGGCCCAAAGAGATTCACAGTCCCACATCCCCACATCACTTGAAATAGGAAGGGGGTTTGCTGATGCTGGTTCATTCCCAGGCTCCCTGCACAGCTCCAGGCACGTTCATCTTCACATCCATCTCCGAGAGCATCAGGAGGGCAGCAGAGACAGAGCTGAGATGTAAGTGAGGGGCAGCATCTTCCAGCCCATCTTTCTCCTGTGCTTCTCTCTTGCCAACAAGCAGCAGCTCCTGTCTTCATGTCCTGCCCTACTTCAGGGTCCTGGGCTTCTTGATGATGCTCTGGGCTTCCCAGGGAGCTGCTTGTGCTGTGTGCTCCCCATGCTGCTGCTGAGAAGGCAGGTTTGGAGATCACCCTGGTGGAGAGCACCCTCAGGAGGCTTCCTCTCCTCTGAGCACAGATGTTTCCTGGATGAGCACCAGAAGCTTTCCTGTACAGGACATTCAGGGTGCTCCCCATTGCTGAGATGAGGCAGGTCCAAAGATTGTATATATTCCCCCAAAACAGATGATCAAGAAGAGGTTACTGAACACTGGGGGTTGCATATGTCTATTGAAGACCCCATGAACAGGCTAAAGACCCAGGAAAAGCATTTAGAGATGAAAGAGTGTGTCAGGAGAAAGAGGAAATCACTATAAAAGCCTGTGAGCCTGTGTGTGTTTGCATATGGTGCTGGGAGAGACTGCAAAGCTCTTCCAGCTCCAAACCCGTGCCACGAGCAGGGGCACCTCCCACTAGAGCAGGCTGCTCCAAGCCCCATCCAACCTGCACTTTCCATCCGTCAGGAATTTGTTCCAGTTAAGAAGTCCCAGCAGAAAGGGAAGAAGCGGGTGGTTGGGAAATGCCCACAAGAAGAGGGATCAGTTCTGCACTGTGAAAGCACCGTGTTTCTCTGTGTTCCAGGTTGAGCCGGATGGTCTCCAAGCCCCAGGCTCAGCACTAACAAAGGTGATGAAGTGCAGCACTAAGGTAAAGCTACTCGGGTGTGCGACCTCCCCACTGCTTTCCACAGAGGTCATTGCTCAACATCTCAAGGCGAGCCAGAGGAGCAGGCACCGCGTTGTGCCATGGTGTTTAACTGCTTGAGCACCCCTTTGTTCTACCTGTGCTGGCACAGGACTTTCACCAACCTGTTCCTCATTGAGCTGTGCCTGAACTCTCCCTTTCCATCCTGCAGGACTGTCTCTGAGCAGCTCCCACCACACAGAGGCTTTTCCACCTGGGACATCCCTGCCTCTTGGAGAAGAAACCTCCAGCCAGGAGCTCACCCACAAAGCACCATCCAGCCCATGGCACAAAGCAACTGCACCCAAGTGACCCAGTTCAGCCTGGCGGGGTTCACAGAGGACCCGGTGACTCAGGTCTACTTGTTCCTGCTCTTCCTGCTCACCTACCTTGTCACCATCATGGGCAACCTGGGCATCATCATCTTAATCAGGGCCAGCCCCCGCCTCCACTCCCCCATGTATTATTTCCTGGGCAACCTGGCCTTTGTAGACCTCTGTTCTTCCACCATCATCAGCCCCAAGATGTTGGTTGACTTGATGTCAGAGAAGAAGAGCATTGCTTATGGTGGGTGCATGGCTCAGGTCTTCCTCTTTGACTTCTTTGGGATGACTGAATACTTCCTGTTGGCTTCGATGGCCTATGACCGTTACGTGGCCATTTGCCATCCCCTGCTGTACCCCCTTGTCATGTCCCCAAAGTGCTGTTTCCAGCTGGTGACTGGCTCGTACCTCGTGGGGCTGACCAATGGTGTGGGACAGACCATCAGCATGTCTACCCTGTCCTTCTGCAGCTCCACCGTCATCGACCTCTTCTTCTGTGACATTTCTGCTCTCATCTCGCTCTCCACCTCTGACACCACCCTCAGCCACATCATCCTGACCACTGCAGCATCTCTCTTTGGTGTGTCCTGCAGCCTGGTTGTCCTGCTCTCCTATGTGGCCATCATCACCACCATCCTGAGCATCAATTCAGCTGAGGGCAAGCGCAAAGCCTTCTCCACCTGCACCTCCCACCTCACCACTGTCAGCATCTTCTATGGGGCATCCTTCTTCACATATTTAAGCCCCATCTCAAACAGCTCAAGAGAAGAAGATAAATGGGCTGTGGTGCTCTACACCATGGTGCCTTTCATGCTGAACCCCTTGATCTACAGCCTGAGGAATAAGGAGGTGAAGCTGGCGTTGAGAAGACTCTTGAAAATAAAATGATCTTGAATGCTCTAAATATTGGGCCAGATAGAATGGAGATGTGGGGGAGATGCTCAGCTGTTTGTGAAGTACCTTAGATGGACAACTTGTCGGGAGTCTTCTGCAGCAGTACTTACATGATGTACTGTGAGATTTGATAGCACCACCTGAATATATTAAAAAAAACATTGCAAAAGCTTTTACAATTGCCCTGACTCAAGGTATTGGCTGTGTCATTTGTCGCTCTCCTTTTGCTGGGAAAATCAGAATAAAGAGAGAGTGAATTCTACTGTTCCACTAAATCAAACTCAATTTCTAGGCATGTTGTGAAGTCACTGAGGGCCATAAAAAAAAGACGCCAACTCCTTTAGCAAGATAAATGGAGATGACAGCAAATAACTGGCACATTGTGCAGGAAGTATTTTTAGGTGTTGATTCCCAAATCTCATTCAATGATTTCCAGCACCATTCCCCTCATTTCATTTCTGACAGCGAAGATTTTAACTTAAATATGGTACCTGTGTGACCCCTATTATGACTGAAGGCGCTTTGAAAGAGTTTTAAGACGTGGTAGTGATGAATCCCAGCCAAAGGGCAGATGCTATCAAGGAACCCCTATCCCCTGATCCACACCTTTGCTTTCCAACTCCCTGCATACAGCAATAAAAGCCATGGTCTCCACGGCAGCCAGACCACAGCAGAGCACAGGAGCTGTGGGGTTGTTCAGCAGCCTTCAGACCTGATGCATGGCAGTCCATGGCAGCCTGGAGCAATGGCATTGCCTGCCCTGATTTCTCTCTTGCTGCTTTCCTGCACAGAGACCTGCTGGCTGATGGGCACACATTGCATACATAAACCACCACAAAATATTCCAGTCGTTTGCCTCAGCCCATAGAGCTGTAGCCAGGACCATGGGGAAACCTGGAGCCCTGGCTGAGCCTTAGGGCTATCCTACACATATGCAATAACCTGGGTTGGAGGGAGAAGCTCCACGGCTGGATTGAATCAAGCCAGGATCAAAGTGGTTTGCTGATTCCTTAACAACACACAACTCACAGGCACCCAGGGTCAATCAGCTGAATCCTGCTTTGTTCCCAAAGCTTCCTGATAATTCCCTGGTTATTATTTAACCCAGATGACTGCTGTTGTCCTCCTGAGCCTTGGGGACAAGCAGGGGCAGAGGTTTCACACCCACCCTGGCGCCTATTTCAGTGTTTGACTGCTCTTACAGTGGGATTTTCCCCCTTCCCTTTGTTTCTAACTGGAATTTCCCATGCTGCAAATTCATAATAGGAAATCCGAGATTTATCCTCATCTGCAAGAAAAAGCACATGGAGAACTTGCTGATGGCATCAAGTCACAAAGAATGTGACACCATTAATTCTTGCAGGAATCCTTTGTCTGTCCCTGAAATCCTAGAAGCATGGATTGTTTGGGATTGGAAGGGAGCTTAAAGCTCCTCCAGCTCCAACCCCTGCCACAGGCAGGGACACCTTCCACTAGAGCAGCTTTCTGAAAGCCCCTGTGTCCAACCTGCCCTTGAACACTACCAGGGATGGAGCATTTACCAGTGGTTTGGTCAACCAAAGTCATGAAGTAACTTGTGTCTGTGCCTGAGCTGTCCAAGTTATTTCTTCACGATGATGTCTGCACCACACAGACATAATTCCATAGTCCTAGACCATTATCCCAGTGAAACATTCATATGAGCATGGGTACAGCGGGTCAGATTGGATGAACCGTGTCAGGAAGCATAAAGGCATCTGGGACTGACTTCAGTTGCCTGAACATTGATTATTAACACGATGGAGATGCCCCCGAGTCTGCCTCTGAGCTTTCAGATGTTGCACCAGAATGACCCAACTGTTCTGAAGGTTGCATGATGTACATGTCAAGTGCATGGCAATGTCCTGGGCCCTTCAGGACAGAGGAAATGGCACAACATTTCTATATGACAAAAAACAAACCTGACCTGGGGCATTTCACTGCATCTGTCTCCTTCCCTGCAACTTAACTGGTATTTTCCACCAACACTTAGAGGGAAACATGCAAAAAAGAGTGGTTTCTTACTTCTTAAATTATCTTCTTTTTTTTTCCCTTATGAAGTTTTAGTCCGACTGAAAACTCAAACAAATCTTTCAAGACTGCTGGGAAGAGGGATTAGGAGATCTGAAGTAGTTTCATTTTCTTCAAATTAACATAAATAAAAGTTAAGTCATTAAATCAGAGTTTTGTGTCTCCACCTGTGCTCAGTGAAGGTGTGTTTCTGTATCTCTAGTATTTGTACAGATAAAGAGAGCAGTTTCAAGAGTTCAAGTTTGAAGATGCACACACACAGAGCGTTCTCCCCTCCCTGTTTTTCCATCCCCATCAGAGGCTGGGGTCAGGCTGCATGAACTGGGCTCCTTTTAGACTCATTGAATCAACCAGGTTGGAAAAGCCCTTCAAGCTCATCCAGTCCAACCACTGCCCAGCCCTGTCAAGGCCATCCCTAACCCATGGCACTGAGGGACACATCTACACAGTGTGTGAACACTTGCAGGGATGATGACTACAGCCCTGCCCTAGGCAGCCTGTTCCAATGCCTGAGCACCCTTTGGGGCAGGAATTGTTCCTCAGCGCCATCTAAACCTGCCCTGGTGCAGCTTGAGGCCGTTTCCTCTTGTCCTGTCTCTTAGATTAAAACAAACTGAAAAAAGGTTTGAGGGGGGCAGCTGATCCAGTTTGACCTCCAGGAGGCCTTCACATCCTGACTGGAATTAGTTTAATCCACAGAAAGCTATTCTGGGATGCATATACTGTGGAGAGAGGGTGCATGGTACAAGTCCTTCTGATGTTCAGACCTGCTCTGGACCACATCCACCCTCACCAGCTGTCCTAGGATGTGATAAAACATCCTCTTATTCTCATCCCTTCTAGAAGGGACCTGTCTATCTCATAACTAAATAATAAATTTTAGATGTTGAGTCAGGTGACCCCATTCCCATGCTTATTCTCCCATCCCAAATCCATAATGGTAGGAAAATCACATTTATGAAAGCCAGTCAGGCATGGAGGATGGATGGAGTGGACTACAACTTGCCTCACAGCTTAAGAGACACAAGCAAATCCATCCCAAGGCAAATAATGACAAGAAGTTTAAAGTATGAGGTGTCCTTGAGGAGGTCCAAAGGTGAGGAGAAATACAATGACCTTCCCCAGCTCCCTTTATTAGGGGTCAAAAGCAGGAAGGGACAAAGCACCCCATTAGCAAGAACCACATGATCTGCACATGTCATGAAGACGGGGATGTGTCTTTAAAGAGAGAGTAGGACCAAGCATGCATGGGCACAGAAAGCCCTCCAGCAGGCCCGAGATCCAGGCTTTCACAATACAAGCAGTCACAGCTATTTCCATCACAAGTGATGCTGCTCACTTTGCCAAAGCAAGAAGTGGTCCTTGGGGACCAAGCACCCTTCCAGGAGTCACCAGCTTTAACAAGACCTTCTGGGGTTTACCAAGGAAGTTTCCTCATCACCACGAAAGCTTCTCAGAAGACTTGGATGTGACTTCCCTCATTCTTCATAACAAGCCATCAGAGATTAATTAGCTGGGGATAACAAGAAAGAAACTTTCTTCTTTGTTAACAGCAAAGTTCACTTCTACAGCTGCCTTGTTGACAGAGATGGCTCATGCCCAAAGCCAGTAAGCTGGAGGGTCAGTGTGTTGGCATGTTTGTGTATTAAGGACAATTTCATGGGCCTCCATCATGGAATTCCATAGAAGTTTGTTTGGGAAGGGACCTTAAAGCTCCTCCAGCTCCAACCCCAACCCCTTCCACTGGAGCAGCTTGCTCCAAGCCCCTGTGTCCAACCTGCCCTTGAGCACTGCCAGGGATGGGGCAGCCACAGCTTCTCTGGGCACCCTGTGCCAGCGCCTCAGCACCCTCCCAGGGAAGAGCTTCTGCCTAAGAGCTCATCTCAATCCACCCCATGTCTTTCCAAGCCATGAACAGTGATAAAGGCAGACACAGAAATGAACTCACCAGTGTTTGAAGAAAATATCCTTGCTTCTTTCACCACAACCTCAGAAGGTTGCTTCCCTTCATGGTAGAAATGGTGACTAAAAGAAACCATTCTAATCTCTCTCAATTCTCATTTAAAAAAAAAAAACGCAAACAAACAACAAAAAAAAAACCACAAAAACACCCAAAATAAGAGAAATACCCTAGCCACCAAATTCAAAGGGAGTAAGACCAAACCAAGACAGCTCTATTTACAGCTAACCTGGAGACAAGAAAACAGCACTCAATGTTCCGGGTTCTTCCCATACATGAATTTACACAACAGGGGCATCCCAACCTCAGTGCAGGATCTACTCATTTGAAGCCCTAATCTTCAAAACCTTTTCAACCAAAGGGAAAACCCATAATTCGCTTGCTTCTGGGCCTTTATAAACCTACCAGAATATTTGTTTCACCCAGCTCGAGCTACAGCTAATACTAAGAGCCAAAAATGAGTGCATCTCCTTACCTATTTATGAGCCAAGGTCCCATTACAGCTGATGAGACTCAGGCCAATGCAATCAGCAGAGCTCATTCAGATCTCTTCACCTGGAGCAATGGAGGTGTCTGCCTTGCAGTGAGGGGCATGAACCCCACCAAATCTCCCTCAACACTAAAGGGAGCTGATGGACCCAGTAAACACATGGAGGTGACATGGTGCATTCCAATGTAAGGAGATAAGTGCTTGCCCAAGGACATTTGAGGTGATTCCTAAATCCAGTCACTAAGTACCCAAAGAAGGGGAGGTAGCTCATGTGGTGTTTGCTCTGCTCTCATGGTCAGATGATAACCCCATTGAAGGCAGTGGCAGCCCTTAGACACAGCAAAACACTGGTTTCCTTAAACACACACAACAAGGAGCAAAAAGCTTTTGGCTTTGAGAGCAGCTCCAATGTGAAGCCACAATGAGCAGAGTGATAGGGTTGTAGCCACAGACTTGTGTTTTCAAGACACTAAGAGCTCATGTTCCTGTTTAAACACTTGGTGATGGTGAAGGAGAGAGCAGCTGGACATAAAGTCATTGAATATTGTTGTAGAAGGCACCAGAGAGACCTTATGGTGGCCTTTCAATACCTTAAGAGGGGCTACAAGAAAGCTGGAGAGGGGCTTGGGACAAGGGCCTGTAGGGACAGGCCAAGGGGAATGGCTTGAACCTGCCCGAGGGGAGACTGAGCTGAGCTCTTAGGCAGAAGCTCTTCCCTGGGAGGGTGCTGAGGCGCTGGCACAGGGTGCCCAGAGAAGCTGTGGCTGCCCCATCCCTGGCAGTGTTCAAGGCCAGGTTGGACACAGGGGCTTGGAGCAAGCTGCTCTAGTGGAAGGGGTCCCTGCCCGTGGCAGGGGTTGGAGCTGGAGGAGCTTTAAGCTCCCTTCATCCCAACCTATTTCATGCTTCTATGATTTCAGGGACAGAGAAACGATTAAAGCAAGAATTAATCGTGTCCCATTCTTATTGACTTGATGCCTCTGCAAGTTCTCCATGTGCTTTATCTTGCAGATGAGGGTAAATCTCAGAATTCTTATTGGGAATTTGCAGCATGGGAAATTCCAGTTAGAAACAGAGGGAGGGGGGAAATCCCACTGTAAGAGCAGTCAAACACTGACATAGGGGCCAGGGAGGGTGTGAAACCTCTGTCCTTCGTTGTTCCAAGGCTCAGGACAACAGCAGTCATCTGGGTTAAATAATAACCAGAGAATTATTAG